TATTTTCTTGATGATCTGTTGTGGGGTACATTGTGTGCCACTGTGTTGTGAGATACTCAAGAAATCAATTTCTTCCCCCGTTCACCACGTGATGTTTATAAAATCATCAGTTACAAACCCGATCCAAAATATTCGGGAGGAAGCGAAAAGATTTCTGGAGATGAGAAAGATAGTCGAGGACTATGGGCCTTTTTCATAAGGACCATAGCCTCAAAGGGGGGATTTGATAAGCACCCCTTGTTTCAGGGGCACCTGGCTAAACCCCTAGGGACAGAAGTAAGGCTGGAAGCCATGTCTAGCAGAGATCCCCTGAACTTTTACTATGCATTTTCTCTTCAGCAACAGCTTTGTATGTTTTGAAAAAAATATTTTATCTAACCAAGGGCATAGAGTAGGTTGTTTAGGCTGGGGGAGATCGCTTGTTGCTTAGTTGTTTAATTGCTGGCCTCGCTAGAGGAAAAGCTGTATCAACAAAGTTCCGGAGCTGGAAGGGGGGTTACTTGGGGGGGAGCTGGAAGGGGGGTTACTTGCTGGGCTTGCTACACATTTCATCACATCAGCAAGTTTAACCTGTTACGTAGCTATATAAGGCAGACACCCACTGGGGTGGGGGTGCTTGCTTTGTGAACGATTGCCAAGCACCACTTTCTGCGCAGAAATAAAGATTAAGTTGGATCCTTCACCCCTGTGTGTTTATTGGCACAAGCGCACCGGGCACGAACTCACTGTCCTTTGGGGACAACACTTGCATTAGCTTTACATGTAACATTTGGCAGAAAGAAAATAGAAGGCACAGGAAGTGAAATTCAGAAGGGACCAAAATTGCCCATGGGAACATTTTAGATCTAGTATAGATAGAAACTTGGTGCAACTACATGTGCATTTATGTGCCTTTTTAATGCGCATTAAATGTAGTATCTCCAATGTGTCATACTAAAATAATGTGCAGTAGCACATTTGCATGCTTTTTTAGTGATGCTTAATGTGCAGTAGACTATTTTATTGTGCATTAGGGTAATGTCATAATTTTTTATGTGGCGCTTTAATCCACAGTAAAATAGTCTACTGCTTATTAAATTGCATGTGTAGACATGCCCACTGAGAGTCATATATTGAAATAAAGAAGAATAATATAGAAAATGAAGCAGATCCGAATGATCAAAGACAGCAGATTTACACTTTAAACATAATTAGAATAGCATATTAATCATTCGTTTGACTTAGGGTTTGTTTTGTTTTTTTTCTCTTTTGATCACAGAATCATAGAAAAAGCCAGAAGGTGGTCATCTAGTCCACTATATGCTCAGGACAGAATACTGTCTAATACATCCCAGACAGAATATTTGTTTAACCCACACTTAAATGGTGAGGAAGAAAAGACTAAATAGTGATTCCAAAGCAGCAGCAGTCTTGCAGAAAGTGCCCCCTGCTGTTCGTATAAGGCATGTGGAGATATAACATCTTTCACACGTTTTTTTTAATAGACATTTTTCATGTTCTGGGCCAAATCAAGTCCAAATCCATGAGTCCATCCAAAACCATACGTGGCCCTACAACCAGCCAACATTCTCCACACAGTCACACCCTGCTAGATGTGTCTCTTTTTAGGCTACTAGCTGTGAAGAAAAAAATTAGTTAGCTCCAGAAATCCTCTCCCAATTTACCTACCATTAGTAGTTTTGCTTTCAACAGAAAGACCAGGAAGGTAATTCTCTTGACTCTTGGCAAATATTTTCAAGGAAAGAACTAGTTGTTCCTCCTGCCCCTCTATCCTAAACATGGGGAGACAAAAATTAGATGATAGTGAGCTTAATATAAACCTAGGTGTTATAAATTCCAAGAAATCAAGGCCAGGGTTTAAAAAAGAAATTGCTAGCCTCCTAAATCAAATTTTAGGCAGCTGAGTAGGTGAGTTAAATTTCCAAATTGATGATACCCAGAAATAGTTTTTCTGAAGTCAATAGAAGTCTTCACAGGAAGTGGGAACTCAAGGATCAGACTGGAAGGGGTCCATTTACTGAGGTTCTTATAATAGAGAAAGAAATCCTTAAGTGATGAGCTGAAATGTATGTGGGTGACAGAACAAACTACAAGTTGGATACAAATGAAATGATTTTATGTAGGGTAGGGTATTCATTTAGGAAATGGCAACTCTCTTGTGTGAATTAGGTTATCTATCACACAGAATTTTGAATTCTGCACGTGTAGTGAATGAATAAACTTGCTACAAACAGTTCACTGCTTGGCTGAAATTTGTTCATATAACTTATTGTTTGAACACTTTTAAATAACAACCACTTTTTCAATAAATGCAATTAGCTTGCAGGCAACTTATGCACAGAAAAAGAATGAAATTCTCAGAATAAACTGTTCAGAATGAAAAATTCAGCCAGTTCTAGTCTTCATTCAATACATGCACATATATCCTATTACCATTAATAAGAGTGATACACACATGTGGCAGGAAGAATTCAAGTCTTATGATGTCTAAAGACTTTTTTTTGTCTTCAGATATTTAGGAGATGTTAATGGGTATGCATAATTATAAAGGTAATTTCCCTTTCAATAATAAATATGATTGTAGAACAATCCTCTTATATCATGTTGTATTAAGATGAGAATAGAAACATAGCAAATCCAGCCTCATGATCTGCTGAAGTTTGCTTTCAATACCTTCCAAACTGACAAGATATATATTTGTCAGTCAACTTGCTGTTATTGTATTTCTCTTTCTTATATCATTAGAGTTCTGTTTGGGAACTGGGATTTCTCTTTGGTTTATGAAACACAAGCTGGGACAAATCATTATCAAATTTCTTGTAAAATGATTTTGAACATATTCCCCTGTGATCCACAATTGAATCTGTTTTGGATTTTTTTTAAATAACCTTCCATATTTTATGAACAACTATGACTATTTCATACAAGAATTAACAGAAGCCCTGTTAGACATAGGGCAGATATATACAAACAGCAGAACTGTAAATTAGCTTGTCAAGGCTCATAAATCATCTGCAGTCTGAAGAGTGAAGATCATGCACACTGTTTTGTATTTAAGATTTGTGCTACTAAATTTATTTGGTTCTGTCTCAATAGACAAGTTTTTGACATGGTATTCATTGCTCTGATATATTAGTATGATTATAAGACCTTGGGGCAAACAGAATTTCTGGGTGTCACTCTGTAAGAATAGACTCGTATAGTAATTTACCTGACAAAAGTGTGAATTCATGGCCTAATGTCTAAAGACCATGACCAGGACACAAGAAAGTTGGGTTATATTTCCAGCTTTACTACTGACTCTTGGGAGCACTTAGTCTCATACATTGGGAAAGATAATACTTTCAGTGTGTGGCTGATTTAATTTATGCCCCAAAGAAACCGTTCTGACAGAGATCACCAGAATATGAGGACATGTTGGTAATTTATTCGGAAACATTTCTTTCACCATAGACCAGGAAGGAGCTATAACAATAAGACGTGAGTGCAAATCTTCATTCCATTTGTGTATTCCATATTTCCTAGCAGTGGAAAATAAGGGCCAAATTGTATAGGATCTCTAAGCATCTAAAGGATGTAGGTGAAATTTAAATGCTAAATAACTATCTAAGATGTCAACAACACATATTAAGCTATTTAGCACATCCATTTTAGACTGCAATTTTCTCTAGGTTCCTGTATATAAAGTTCTGAGTATGCTCAGGAGATTTTCAGCTTGAAGATGTAGGTGCCCAGCTCCCATTTAAATTCTGGTGCTGGGGAAGTCCCTAATTCCTCTGAAATACCCAATTCCTTAGGCATGTTCAGAACATGCCTAAGTCACACCAATAGCTTTCAGTCTAATTAAAAACATAGCTTGAAGTGGTGACCACTTTACATTATAGTCTGGGAGTTAAAGCACTAGCACAGAAAGTGAATTGACAGATCTGGGTTATAATCCTCCC